ACTTGGGTTCACTTAAAGAAACCAATGGAGGTAAATAGTGTCCATTTTAAATATATAATACGTTTTTTTTCATAATTAATAGAATTAAATATTATACACAATATTTTTTATAATTTGTAAATATATTAATAATGCCTTACAGAAAATCAAACCCCAACACTTTTAATTCAAGGAAATATTGAACAAGATCATCATGGGCATGTACAATTGAGTGATGCTGAAGCTCAAACTGCAGGTAAAAATTAATTTATGATACTCTCCTAATTGTAAAAGATAATTATGTAGTGAGTAATTTAAAAAAACCAATCAGTATCTCTACTAATCGTCAAATCCGTGAATTTAATTTGACCGGGGAAAAACCAGGAATTTTTTTACCAAAATAAAAAAAAGTTTTATAATTTTATTTTGTTTTTAAAAAATCAAATCTATTTCAATTTTTTAGACATTTATACTGTTCTCTAAATTTAAATTGGTTAAAAACAATTAATTTGATAGTAAAAAATCAGTCACTGATTCAAATATAGAATGTAAATGATTTTGAAAAAAATTATCGAATTAATAGAAATTTTGAGAAATTCAACTATCAGTTAAATTAAGATTGTTAAAGAATTTCATTAAAATTTTTTTAACAAATCGAATTTTCAAATTATTTTACTTTCATATAATTTATAAATATTTGAATTTTATAAAGAGTCATATTCTAATGTATTCATTTTTTTATTGCGAATATTAATAATTAAAATTTTTATTAGTTAATTTAAAAAAAGTTGTACACTTAAAATTTTTTAATATAATTGAAATTTCGCATTTTTTTAATACTCTGAAAAGTAAGATTTTTGAAATTTTTCAATTCTGTTGTTTCAAGATAATTGAATTTCTATAAACAAATTAATAATTGAAAATTTATAAAATAATTTAAATTTTTTTACATTCCATTAAAAATAATTAAATTCTTTTAATGAATTTTATTTAAGTTTTTTGAAAATAATTAAGGGATGTTAGTCAGCGTAATTATAATTTTATTTTTAAAAATTTCTTCGCGATAATTATTCAATTCTTTTCATAAATAGTCGAAATTTTCAAAAATTTTATTAAAATTCTACGAAAACATTTAATTATTTTCATAAATAATAACATTCTTTAGAAGGATTCAATTACTTTTATAAATAGTAAAAGTTCTTTGCAGAAGTTCAATAAGTATATCAATACATTTTAATACAATTTAATTAATCAAATTTTTAATTACAATTATGAACAGACAAGGCTATTTTAAAAGATTGAAAACATTCTTTGTTTAATTAAATTATTTTCTAAATTTTTAATTAAAATTATTCAAAAAAAATTTTTTTCAAAAAATTTAAAGAAACTTGTCATAAGAACTTAATTATTCATAAAAACTGTAATAATAATTTTTAAGGCCATTTGTAGATTTATTTATGTTCGGAATCAAAGAAATTTAAATTTGATTTGAAAAAAAACTGGGAAAAATTCGGACAAATCCGGGAAATAAACAGAAATTTTGTTGAACGAAAATAGTAGACACCCTGATCATATTAATTACTTTTTTCTAACACAAGTTGAAGTTTTATATCCAATTTCTATTAAATTAATGAAGTTAAAATAGTCTCCTTTTTATGTTTAGTACTGCAGGCAGTGCTATTACCATATTGATTTTTATATTGATTATTTTAAATTTTACTGTCATTACATTACAATATATAGTGGAATAAGATTAAAAATGAAATTAATTCAGTTTTGGTTTTTTTCAGGGTCTCTTATTACTAATGATACTGACAGTGCGGCACACCTCCACAATTCCAAACATCAAAACAGCGTTTTAACTAATACTGAAGATAACACTGGAGGTAAATTTATCAACTATTACGGCACATTATCTTTTTCTTCTTTTAAAAAATATTTAAGTTGATTTTAATATATTTTCTAAAGTAAATGTACTTAAATTTTGTTCTCAATAAGGTAATGAAACTTGGAAAAGTTACACAAAAAATGAGCCCTAGCCAAAAGAATTAGTTTAATTTTTATTTAAGATATCATAAAAATGGTTAAATTTCTAACTTTTCTTTAATTCAAATTACTTCTAAAACAGTGAACATTTTTCAGTCTTTTGGTTTATTTGTAAGCTAATTTTGCATATTTAAACGAAATATATTCTCATTAGTGTGCTTTGTTTTTCGAATTACATGCAAGTTCCTTGAAAAATGTTTATTATCTTTCGAGTATTTAAATTAACAAATATTGCAAAGTAAACAATTTATGAGATATTTTATTGAAAAATGAAGTATTTCTTTTGTTTATCGCTTACTTTTTGAGTACATAATTTTAATAGGTAGAAGAAAATAAAATTAAAGTTAATTTATTTTATAAATTAGATCATTTATTGCAATAATATAAAAGGGTGAACTTACAATTTTAGACAGTGTTTTACATTAAGCATTGAAAGTTATATTTATAATAATATGCTAACATTAAAACTTGACTTCTGAAGGAATTTATTTATTAATCCATGTTTTCAAATTCTTAGTGCCTTATATTTCATCTGCTATTGACAGCGAAGTATTCTCTGATAGCTCCAAACAGAAGGACAATAATTTTCATGAAACTAAAGGTATTTTTTCACGAAAACTTTTTATTAGATATTGACAAAAATATAAGTATTTCATTAATTTATGATTTTTTTGTACAATTTTTTAGTATCTCATGTTGCACCTGCTGCTATTGATGAATTAATCTCTGACTGTTCTAAGCATTGTGATACAAATTTAGATAAAACTGAAGGTAAATCATCTCATTAATAATAAAAAATAATTGTTCTATAAAAACTTCTACAGTAAATTTTTTTATTTGGTAAAATGTTATAACATATGTATGTATATAGTAATTCTTTAATAATAATTTTTAAATTAAATAACTTATAAAAACAAAAATAAATATTTTATCATTTTTTACAATTTTTCAGAGTTTTCTAATGGACCTTATAATGCTCACAAAATAGATGTTCACAACAACGTACATCCGGGGCAAAATTCCTCAATTGTCCTAACTTAAAATCGAAAGTCTTCAAATCGGGCTGATTTTTGCACAAACTTTAATACTATGGGAGAGAACTTTACCCATAAAATATTAAGATATTTTATTAAAAATTTTCTGAATTATGAGATTATCATCCTAAAGCTTACCTAATTCCGCATCCAACAAGTATAATTACACCTATTTTTACAAATAATTGTTAAATAAATAAATAATTGAAAATTTATTTATTAATTTTTTGAAAAAAGGACATTTTTTTCTTCTTTCTTGCTTTAAAATAAAGCTCAATATGTGTACTTTCAATACTCGATTAGGAAAAAGTGCCGTTTTCTTTTGTGTTTCGAATAATTAATTAATTAATTAATTAACTAATTAATAATAGTAAGAAATTACTAAAAAATTAAATATTTTTCAAGCAAATAAACTTTTCTTAATTATGAGCTTATCATCGTAAAGCTTACAAAATTCCGCATCCAGCAAGCATAAACTAAACTATTTTTTATAAATAATTGTTAAATAAATAAATAATTTATTAATTTAAATAATTTGTAGGCCAGTTTTTCCACAATTGTTTGTTTATTAACTTATGTTATTAAAACAACGTTTCGGTAGTAACCACTACCCTTATCAAGTTTAAATTAAAAGCAATAAAGCATTGTCAAGAAAATAATTAAGTTTTTGTAAAATAAAGTATTTTAAATATTATATCATTTTCGTTCAATTAATAAAATTTTTTTTTTTTTTTTGTGTCATCCTTTTAAATTTTAATTATATAACACAAAAAAAAAAAAAAATTTTTATTAATTGAACGAAAATGATATAATATTTAAAATACTTTATTTTACAAAAACTTAATTATTTTCTTGACAATGCTTTATTGCTTTTAATTTAAACTTGATAAGGGTAGTGGTTACTACCGAAACGTTGTTTTAATAACATAAGTTAATAAACAAACAATTGTGGAAAAACTGGCCTACAAATTATTTAAATTAATATATTAAGAATCCACAAATAAAATTTCATCTAACTAAATAAATAATTGATTATTTATTTATTCATTTTTGGAAAAATGACATTTTTTATTTTTATTCTTATTTCAAGCAAAGCTTAATATGTGTACTTTTAATACCCGATTAGGAAAAAATGACATTTTTCTTTTCGTATTATTTATTAATTAATTAATAAAAATTATTTTAAAAAATTATTATTTTTCAAAGAAATAAACTTTTCTTAATTTTGCGCTTGCAAACGTAAAGCTCACCAACTTCCGCACCCAACAAGTTTATTTTTAACTATTTTTTATAAACAATTTCAAAAAATTAATAAATAAATTTTCAATTATTTATTTATTTAACAATTATTTGTAAAAATAGGTGTAATTATACTTGTTGGATGCGAAATTAGGTAAGCTTTACGATGATAATCTCATAATTCAGAAAAGTTTACTTGCTTAAAAAATATTTCATTTTTTAGTAATTTTTTACTGATTTTTATTAATTAATTAATTAATAATTCGAAAACAAAAAAAACGTCATTTTTTCAGAATCAGTTATGGAAAGTACACATATTAAGCTTTATTTTAAAGCAAAAAAAAGAGAAAAAAAAATGCCGTTTTTTAAAAAAAAGTGAAAAATATTTTTAATTTTGAAAAAAATTAGTTAAATTGTTAATTAAAAAAAAAAATTTTTACACCATTCGAAAGAGGAGGAAAAAACCTTTCGAAAACATATAGGTCAAAATTTTGTCCACTCTACTGTATTTTAGCTATATTAGCTAAAAGAATCCACTGTCCACACGTTACCAAAAACTTTAACCCCCTCTCCCCCCTACAATTTTTAATAAAATATCTTAATATTTTATGGGTAAAGTTCTCTCCCATAGTATTAAAGTTTGTGCAAAAATCAGCCCGATTTGAAGACTTTCGATTTTAAGTTAGGACAATTGAGGAATTTTGCCCCATCCATATAACAATTTCAATAATTTGTTCGGAAAAATTAGAGGTAATTTATTAAATGTCATGTCAAACTGAATATTTTTTCTAAAAAAGACATAGACTGAAGAAGATTCATGACCCGGAAAGTGTAACTAAAAAACTGTCGAAATATTTTAGTAGTTCTTGCTTTTAATGTTAAAAATCATAAATCTTTTAAAGAATATGCAATATCGCAAATTGGCATTTAAAGGCATTACCAAAATTTACGACTAAAAATGAATATTGTGCTTACAATTGTTATTTTTTAACATTTTAGATGGTAAATCATTTGGCAACTGGTCTTTATCTAACATCATGGAGAAACATATTCCTCCAAATCATAAATCTAATAATTCAAGGCTGGAAAAAGGAAATAAACCAACTATTATTTCGAATGAGAAATTATCTGAACCGATACCATTAACAAAGACTAAAAAAGCAAAAAATAATTCTTTACATAGCAGTAAATTATTGAAAGTGCCAATAACGGGAAAAGCTGCAAGTACAAATGCTGAAAACTTTCAATCTGGTGTCATCAATAATTTCCAGCAACAGGAAAACGCTACAGATAATAGAGCACAAAGTAAATAATATTTTTATAATTAATGAATTTTTTATGGTTAATAAATTACATAGATGCTTCAATTCTGTCGCGTTGCTATTTCGAAATGATATTATAAATCTTTTAGTTTAAGAATTATAAAATGTTACAATTTTAGAATTAGAAAATATTAAACCGGGAGAAAAAGTATAATATTTTTTTTATTGTAGACAATCATCCGCCGGAAGACGCTTTTGCTAGAAGAAATAAAAGAAGCATTGACAAAAGTGAGGAAAAGTTTGACAAAGCATTAGATTCATTTAAATCGCTTACAGACATGGTAACTCAATACTACAATAAAAAAAGTAAATTGATGTCAATTAAAGATAATAAAATAAATAAACCACAACAGGAACAGCATCAGCAACAACATCAATTTCAAGATGGGTATGAAGAAGAACTCTTAAAAATGTTTAGAAAAATTCCTTCATATGCAAAACACGGTGTTTTTGAAATTTTAATGGACGATATGGAAGACATGTTACACAGGGCAGAAGTTCTTTAACTTAAGCGGGCTATTGATTAAATACAAAATCTTGAACCCACTTACATTTTTAATTATTATAATGTTTAAATAACAGTTGTGATAAATCATATTAATATATGTTGCTGTGATTAATGAATATATTATATTGCTGTGATTAATAAATATATTTATAACTGAAAGAAATGATTAATAATGTACTCTTGAATTCTTAGAAAAGTTAAAAACATTATTATCAAATTTTATTATAACTGTTACGGATGACACAATTTATATTGTTTATAACTGTGCGCCTGCAAAAAAAATTATAACACTTAAAATATTTGTATTTCTATAGAAAATGTTTTTGTTTAAATAAAACTTTTACTTTATAATTATATCAATGTTTTTAAAAATTATTTAACCTAAGTTGGTTTACAATAGTTTTTTTTACACATTTTTTAATCTCATTGAACACAAAGTATATTAAAAAGCTATGTTTATGATTAAAGTCTAAGTGACTTCATTATTCTGTCTTTCAAAATAAGAAGTTAAAATGTTCCTCATTTTTTGTCCATTTATGTGAGAATTGTTTATTCCATTTCCTTCATACTCATCTTCATCTTCAACATGTTCGATTTCTTCATTTTCAAAAGCATTATCGTTGTCTTTAGCTTCAAGATTCAGGTCGATATCTTTATTAGAACTGTATCTTTCTCTGATTCTTCTTAATACATCTTCCGTTACATATTGCCTATTTTCAGCGCTTTCATTTATTTTGCTCGTTAATAAAAAGTTATGTAAACAAGCAAGACACTGTACTATTTTTATCGATGTTTCTAATTTTAAATCTAAAGACGTATGAAGGATTTGCCAAACGCTTGCTAGTATTCCAAAGGTATCTTCGATAGACATGCGAGCATGAGATAAACTGAAATACAAAAGAATTAAACATTCTTTAAACGAATTTTTCACAAATTTAAATCTTTCTCTAATGTATAATATTAATTATACTTATGAAAAAGTCTCTTTTTATCAAAATTTTCAACAACATAATTTTTTCGTAGTAATTTTATACATTTCATACTTTTTCCAGTAGCTTTCATAAAATTATGTAACTACTCAAACCTATGACAGCCCTGACAAAAAAATAATGATAACTTTGTTACACATACCAATAATTAAATAATTTTTGAGCATCTAGGGTAACGTTTCTTCTTGAAAATGGACGCATTAAATATAAGCGCAAACCAAATGCCTCGTCGCCAATAAAGAAGTATGGAATGCTTTCATTACTTCCAGGTAAACATTTCGGATGAGGTAGGGGATACCTTCCTTCTGCTAATTCTTGGCCAAAACCACTAGCATTAAAAACACTCGAGTCGTTCAAAGATCCTACAACATTTGGAGAATGAGATTTAAATGAAATTAATAAATCAAATAATTCAAAATTCAAAGAAATGAAAATTACATTATTTTGATGGACTACATTAAACGTTTTCAATGAAATAAATATAATTAATGATTATAAGTTAATTACTTAAATTAATTAATATATTTATTTGTTCATTTACTTCATTTGAATTGAATTTTTTAAATATTTTAACTTCAAAAACATTGTTTTCTGTTATATTATTAACCACAAAAAAAATAAAAATATTCTACATCAGGGTTGCCACAAATATTTAATTTTATTTTTCCCTGACTTTTCCCTGATTTCCAGAAAAAAATTTCACTTTTTCCCTGACCCTAAAGAATATTCTGATTCACTCTAAAAATTATTAGATACTCAAAAAAAATATTCTTAATACATTTATTTGCGAATTTCTTTAAATGTAAAATTATTCGAATACATCAATAACCTCTTTTCTAAATAAATATTAATCATTATTATTTTTCGGTAGGAATTAAAATTCTTCAAAATATTCAAATTTTAACCTTTTTGAAATTCAACAACTTATAAGAATATTATTACAAAACATGAAGAAGACGACCATTCCGAGTCGAAGACTTCATGTTTTGTAATAATTTAAATTGCCATAAAATTTTTTAAAAAATTTTATTTTTTTATTTACAAAAATCCTAAAAAAAATCCTTCGCAAGAATTCAATTATTTTTACAAGAAGTACAATTTCACAAAAAAATTCAATTATTTAAAAAAATGTAATAAAATTAGTTGCAATAATTCAATTATTTTTATAAATAATAATAAATCAATTATTCGTTTATTCATTTTTAAATCAACTTTTATTAGAAAATTCTAAAAAAAATTCAATTATTTAAATTAAAAAATAAATAATTTATTGAATAATTGAATGTTTATTAAAATTGAATTCTCATAAAGAATTTTATCAATAAAATTTTAAATAATTGAATTCGTTTGACAAATTTTAATAAAATTTTTAAGAATAATTACATTTATCGAGGAATTTGATTAAAATATTGTATAAAAAATAATTCATAAAAATAATAATTAAATAAATAATTAAAATTTTCATAAAATAATTGAATGTCGGCGAAAAATTTCATTATTTATATAAATAATTAAATTCTTGCAACGAATTTTATTCAAGTTTATAAAAGTAATTGAATTTCGGTAAAGAATTTTATTATTTATAAAAATAATTGAATTCATGAAAATATTTGATAAAAATGTTTTTATATAATTGATATTTTTGGAAAAATTTTATGAAATTTTGTATTTTAAATAATTGAATTCCTATGAAAATTTTATTACTTATGAAAAATAATTGAATTATTACAAAGAAATTTATTAAATATTGAATAATTGAATTCCTGTGGAATTTTGACAAGAATTTTATTAAAATTTTTTAAAATAATTGAATTTCGATGAAGAATTTTATTATTTATAAAGATAATTGAAATTTTGACGAGAATTTTTTTTTAATTTTTGAACATAATTGAAATTTTGCGAAGAATTTTTGTAACTTTTGAAAATAATTGAATTTCTGTAATCATTTGTAACTTTTCCAGAATCCAAATTTTTTTAGTATTTTTAACTGAAATTCTTCTATCAATCTAGTATTTATGAAAATTGTTAAAATTATTTCTAAAATAATTTGTATGTCATAATTTTATGATAGTTTTTGAAAAATGAAGTTATTTAACAAGAAATTATTGTCAGAAATTGAAAAAATTGAAGATTTTGTATTAAAATTAGAGGTAATTTCATAATTTACGAGGCAAAAAGGAAGAAAATTCAGAGTTTTCTCATGAATTTTAAAAATTCAATTTTTTCCAGTACTTTTAGTAAAAATCCCTGACTTTCCCCTGACTTCCCTGACCAATTTTACTTTCCCTGACTTTTCCCTGATTTCCCTGACCTGTGGCAACCCTGTACATCCAAGTGAAATAGTTCTGTTTTGAGAGGAAACATTGAGAGGATATTAGAAGAGGATTTTTCCTCTAACAACAAGATTACATTTTTTAGGTTGTTAAAAAATATTTCAGCATTTATACCATAATCTCCTACGTCGATCCACGTAAAACGGTAGTCAGCGTCACAAAGGGCCATTAGAACGAAACTATAATATTTCTTGTAATTAAAGAAAAGTGAACCAGATCCAGGTGGTTTCTTTATCCTGATATGTTTTCCATCGATGGCTCCTAAGCAATTTGGAAAATTCCATTTTCTCTCAAATTCGTTGCTAATGTTAATCCAGTCGTCGACGCTTTTCTCTGGTAGATATATAGGCGAAAGAATTTCCCATACTTTTTCACATACATTGCTAATGATTTGATATAATGTTGAACGTCCAATAAAATACATATTTGATAAAGTCAGGGTGCTGTCGCCATGAGCTAAAAAACTTATATTAATATTCATAATAAATAATTTAACTCACATAACTCTTTTTTCGCGTAAAAATTTTCAAAAGGTATGAAAAAGAATTAAAACAAAATTTAAAAACAAGTTAAATACGTCTTTCAAAATTTTTTTTTTATAGTAATATCTATTTGTATACAAAAAATTAATATTTTTACTGTTTAATAAACTTTTCGAATAAATGTATATAGTTATCTACTTCTGCACGATGAATACAATGTAAAATAAAAATTAATTTACAACAATTTCAAATTTTCCAGATTATAAATTGATTTGAATAGATATATTCTGGATAATGTAAATATTTATAAATATAATATCAACTTTTCCAATAAAATCTAAATTTCAAATATGAGAATATTTAATGTTATTACTTAAATATAAAAAATTGGACAAGTGCGAGTTGTACTCGCACTGCAATGGCGGGTTCCGTACACAAATATTAAAACAATTGCAACATTTATCGGTAATTGATAAAATTAAAATAAACAATTAAAAAAATATATTAAAATCATTTGATAAAAAAGAATAACTAAAAAAATTAAAGTATTGTATATATCTAATATTGTAAACAATAATAAGCAGAGGAACAAAGTTTTCAAAATTATAGTTCCTCTGCTTATTATTGTTTACAATATTAGATATACAATACTTTAATTTTTTTTAGTTATTTTTTTTATCAAATGATTTTAATATATTTTTTTAATTGTTTATTTTAATTCTATCAATTACCGATAAATGTTGCAAGTATTGTTTTAATATTTGTGTACGGAACCCGCCATTGCAGTGCGAGTACAACTCGCACTTGTCCAATTTTTTTTTTTAGTTAAGAAATTAAAGTCAGAAAACAATCTCTCATTTATTCTCTTAAAATTTCACTCTCTTCCTTAAAATATTTAATGCCACGTGTTTAAACTAAAAAAAATTAAAAAAAATTTTTTTTTTTGAAAAAAAAATTTAAAAAAATTTTTTTTAAATTTTTTTTTCAAAAAGTTTCTTAAATAAATTTTTTGTCGTCAGACTGTAATAATACACTAGGATACCAATTTTCAGCTCATTAGGTCAAATAATGTAAAAGTTAGAGAAAAAAAATTTTTTTTAAAAATTTTTTTAGTTTTTCCTTGACAACGCTATGGCCATCATTACATATCAAGTTGTCTATATTTTTCCTGTAATATTCGAGTAAAAATACACCAGCATGGAAAATTTCAGCTCTCCATGTCGAATAGTTTAGAAGTTAAGGGGGGGGGAATGGTCACTTTTTATGCATTTTTGGCCAAAAATCTTGTTATTTCCTTGACAACGCTATGACCATCACGTCCAATCACATTCGCTATATTTTTCCTGTAATCTACGAGTGAAAATACATAGGGGAGAGTAGGCTACATTGAACCAGCGTCAACAGTGAACCACTTCAATTTTCTGAGAAATGACTGAGTGGAATTTTTTCTTATTTAATATATAAGTTAGTTTTACTGAAACAAACTATGTCCAAAAATTTCGGGCACGTAGGTTTATTATTTATAAAGAAAAACCAAAAAAACTGTTTTTCACGTACAAAACAAAAAATTTTGTGGAAATATAATCAAGTTTTTTTTTGAAATAGGAAGTTTTAAAAATTAGTAAACTTGTGATTTATTTAGCTTAGGGTGCCAACTTCAATATTCCGATGTGATAAGGAATTTTAACTCTTACATAAATTTATTATAAACAATTTTTGTTGTGAATGTCATGTGAATACAGTGAGTGCGGCATCATTGAACCACCCGAAAAAGCAAAGAATTTTCAATTTTAAGAGTTGTAAAATTGTCTGCTCTACTAATTAGTAAAGAAAATACTGGAAGACATGCTTTCATCACAATTGTGAACGAAATAAACTCAAACTGTCACTTTACCTACCTAACCTGACATCAGAATATATTAATCTCCTATATTAACAAATAATAACTCTTTAACAACAATTTTCTATTTTTTTGAGTGAAAAATAAGATTTTTTACAATGTGTAAGTGGAAATATTATTTTAGAAGTAAATTGTAGTGTTTTATTAAAGGTGGTTCAATGTAGACACACATTCTTCAAAATAAGAAAAGTGTGACTTGTTAGAAAAAAATTAAATTTAATTATTTAATCATAATAATTTGTGTTTGTAACGTGTGTATTAACTAAAGGAGTACTTCAGCTTAATTTTGATACAAAAACCTGATCGAAATTAGTAAAATTTTATTAGTTCTTGGACTTTATAAAATACCCGGTTCAATGTAGCCTACCCTCCCCTATCTGGACCAAATTTGAGCTCTTTAGGTCAAATAGTTTAGCCGCTAGGGGGGGGACACGATTTGGCTACGGACAACAGAGTCTCACCAATAGGGTTCCGCCGTTACACCGTAGGTGTACGGAACCCTAAAAACGATTAAATAATAATTCAATTAAATGTAAAATTTACAATTATCAAAATTTTTTTATAACTTTAATTGCGAAAATGATCACCTGTAAGTTATTGAAAAGTATTAACTACATTTCTATAAATATTTTTTAACGAAATTTCTTAATTTTCCCTTGACTATTCCTTCATATAGAGCAAATACAAATAATGTAGAATAATAATGATTAATAGATTATATATACAATTAACGGACGAATTTTTATTAAATTATAATTTACCTGAATTAAAATATATTTCTATAAATTATGAATATTAATATTATTAATATTTATCTAAATATATTTATAAATTTTATAAATATGAGACTCCTCTTCAAATTTTTTGTGCACATTTTTTCTATCTTCTTGAAACCTAATATTACCAAATTAAATTTCACAATTTGTATATTTAATAAGGGATTTTTAATTTTTACTAAAAAAACATTTTTTTAATTTTTGTTCTTCCCTATTGTTTTATTGAAGTGTCTCAAAAACGAATATTTCTACATAAATAATAGTAGATATAAAAAAGGTACTTACTGTAAAGTGATACTACTATCTGAACAGAAAACTTAAAATAGATTATGTACAACTGCTCAATAACAAACTAAACTGCGCATGAACAGTTTTATTTAACTGAAAAGACTATTTAAAAAGTAGTACGTCACAAATATACATTTTCAAACTAAGAAAATACATTTTTATTAAATTTCCTAATATGCTTTAATATTTTTACACATTAATTTTCCTAAGGTTTTTAACATTGTGAATAATTTGTTTGAAATGTAAACGAAGCAGAAAATTTATGACAATGGTTAAAATGTATTTTATATAGACTATATAAAAATTATTTTTAAAACCGATAGTATATAGTAAGGGAAGTGTTCCGGTTGTGGGCACCCTTTTGATTTTGCCTCATAACATTTGTCCATGTGCATATTATACAAATATATGTGTACGAATTTAAAGCTAGAGGTCTAAGGTGACTGTCAGTGAAGGAATTAAATTGACTCCTTTAAATAAAAAAGTTTTATTAGAAAGTTAGTGAAATGGGAATTTTTTGACAAAAAAAATTTTGTACCCGGTTGTGGGCACCCTTGAAAAATCCGCTAAAAATGGAAAAATATTAAAGGAAACCAACACAAATAAAGAAGAAATGAAAGTTTCTTTATTTTAAGAGAATTTGCCGGGATAAAGAACAAAAATGATGACACGTTTTCACACTATGCTCATCGCTAACAAAAGCATAATGCTTCATGTGAAGTAGCTAGTACGCATACCATAACGCACTTCTAATGCACTGAACGACTATATTCATCGCATTTAATGGAGTTTGCGGCTGTCACTTTCCTTGGCAGAAAGTTTAGATAGATGAGACAGTAGTCCTCATCATTGTCAGATGGTAGAGCCTCCTTAACATAAAGGTGCCCACAACCGGGAATGACAGTCATTTTTTAAAAAGACCAACACATTTTGTGATGCAGGATTTTGGTTAAACACGAAGGTAAATCACAAAATATAATGACAACACTGCAAAAAAAAAATTAAACCCTTCTTTTCTGAACGAATCTACACCCATATGTTGCTCTTCGAAAACAATACAAAATTACTTTTTTATTTATTTAATGCAAATTTTCTTTATTATGCTCACAGCTATTACACAAATGCATATATTTGTTTCGTTATCAATACGAAAAGTCCGTATTGTCAACGAACACGACTTGCAATACTTAGATCAGTAAAGTCTGCTTGCCGTCGAAGTTTACGTAGGGGTGCCCACAACCGGAGGGTGCCTACAACTGGCGCACTTCCCCTACAGTATATGTAATATAATATAATATAATATAATATAATATAATATAATATAATATAATATAATATAATATAATATAATATAATATAATATAATATAATATAATATAATATAATATAATATAATATAATATAATATAATATAATATAATATAATATAATATAATATAATATAATATAATATAATATAATATAATATAATATAATATAATATAATATAATTATAATTATTCAATTGCATTTTGATCAGTATCGAGCGAAAAGATAGAAGTGCAACAGTATACATATACCGTGCAATTCCCCTACGTTGAGATAGCTAGTGGAGGGGACACGTTGCGTCGTGTCGGGCGTCCGTTTGGCTCACATGTGGAATGGGCTTTAACCCTTTAACGCCCAGTGGTACATACGCTGTACCACAAATGCATTAAAGTCATCATAACTTTGAAACTAATACATATTACTAAAAATTTTAAATTCTTAGCTCTAGTAAAACTCTTCCAGCAGATAATTAAAAAAAACAAAAGTAAAAAAATAATAATAAATAATTAAAATAATAATAAATAAAAAAAGTGTCAAGATACATTTTCTCCTATGACGGACGAAAAAATTTTAAAAAATTAATCAGATTCGTTTAAAACTTGTTACTCGGGGGTTTTTGGGGTCGCTGATTACGAATATGAAGTTAAAATTGCAAAATTCAAAATGGCGGATCCAATATGGAGGACAAAAAAAATATAAAATAATGGGATTTATATGAAACTTGTCACTCGGGGGTTTTTCGGGTCGCTGATTACGAATATGAAGTTAAAATTGCAAAATTCAAAATGGCGGATCCAATATGGCGGACGAAAAAATAAAAATTAATGGGATTTATATGAAACTTGTCACTCGGGGGTTTTCGGGGTCGCTGATTACGAATATGAAGTTAAAATTGCAAAATTCAAAATGGCGGATCCAATATGGAGGACAAAAAAAATATAAAATAATGGGATTTATATGAAACTTGTCACTCGGGGGTTTTTCGGGTCGCTGATTACGAATATGAAGTTAAAATTGCAAAATTCAAAATGGCGGATCCAATATGGCGGACGAAAAAATAGAAA